GACGTGAAGAGAAGGGGACGGAGACGAGACGAGAAGGGGACGGAGACGAGACGAGAAGGGGACGCGGAGCAAAAACCCACTTCCTCGTCCATGGGATTAGAGCACGGCGCCTTAAAAATAAACCGCGAGTCGGCTTGTCCAGGTGTATTTTGAGTCGACCCAAAATACTCCCAGTCGAAGGCGCTCTGACGTGGGAGGGGAACGGGGGCACGCGGAGGGGAACGGGGGTACGCGGAGGGGAACGGGGGCACGCGGAGGGGAACGGGGGCACGCGGAGGGGAACGGGGGTACGCGGAATACAAAGCCAATTCCGCACCCCCATTCGATTACGGAAAGCCCAGGTGTCCCTCCGTCCGGACTTGGGTAGATCTGCGCTCCACTATAATGACCCATTCCGCCATGATTCGTTTACTGTCTTACAATCAAATGTGCAGCGTCACTGTAGCAGAGAAACATAAAAAAATAGAAATTGGAGACACGGAATAAATGACCCAATTTTTGCATGGACTTCTGCAGAAGTGAAGGGAAAGAAGCCTAAAAAAAAAGAGGCTTCTTTCGCAACCCCGAGCGAATCCTCCTTTTGAACCAGATTTCTCGTTACAGTCACCTCCTCGTAAAACCACTCCTCGTCCGACTCACCTGCAGCGCGACGTGCAGCTCGAGCAGTGAGAAGTCGGAGGGCACGGCGATGTGGCGCCAGATCTTGCGCTTCTTGAGCAAATCGCGAAACACGTTTTTTTCGTTACAACCGCCTCCTCGCTGCACCACTCCTCACTGCTCTCACCTGGAGAGCAACGTGCAATTCGAGCAGCGAGAAGTCCGAGGGCACGGCGATCCTCCGCCAGATTTTGCGCTTCTTGAGCACATCGCCGTCGTCGAGGTTGAGCACGCACAGCAGCATCACCACCTCCTCCACCTCCTCCACCTCCTCCCCGTCCTCGTCCTTATCTTCATCATCGTCGTCCTCGTCGTTGTCCTCCTCCGCCGTCTCCTCCGCCGTCTCCTCCGCCTCGGTTTCGGTCTCCTCCTCTATGACCTCCCCTGCTGCGACCTCGTCCTTTTCCACCAGCACTTCTGGAAAAGGTGGGAGAGAATGGGGGGAGGGGGGGGGGGGGGGGGGGGGGGGGGACGGGGGGGGGAGATGAAAATAAGCGTATCTTGACTATGGCTTCCCCTGCCGCTACCTCGTCCCTTTCCACCAGCACTTCTGGCCAATGAGGAAATTGGGGAGGAGAGGGGGGTTGGGGGGGCCGGGGGGAGGGGGAGGAAGATGGGTTGTCAGTCACAAATAAGGTATGGAGAAGGAAGAAGAGGCGCGAAGCAACTCGTTATAACGTTGTGCCTGCTGCTCCTTCGTTATATGTGCTGTGCATTTCTCGGAAGCCAAGGAGAAAAGGAAAAGAAATTGTTATTTGCTAGAAGCACGTGAAACTACTCACTTACCCTTTTCCTCCTCCGACTCGGACACGAAGGACACTCCTACCCTTCTCCTAGCCAAGGAGGGAATTTGTTCAGTGCTACAAGTATGTATATCAACACGGTTACCCCATGCGTGAGGAGTCTATTTTTGAGGCGCCTCAAAAGTATGTATAGCAACACGGTTACCGTTCTCCTAGCCAAGGAGGGAAATTAGTTAAGTTTTCTACAAGTATGTATACTCACTTACCCTTCTCCTCCTCCGACTCGGACACGAAGGCCGGCGTCGATTCACCCTCAGAGGCCATCCCGCAGCCCGCGGCGTCGCCCCTGCTTTTCCGCGAAAAAGACGCGAACAGAAGAAAACGAGGACCCGAAAGCCGGAAGGGCGGCAGAAACCGTACTAGCCGCTGTATCTGTTGTTCCGGATGTGATGCTACGAGGAGGGCTGTTCTGGTTGACAGATAAGCTCAGCTGCTACACGTGGTAGCGGTGGCTGCCGGAGCACCTAGTTATTGATGCGAGATCTAGAATGCAAAATGCTACTAATTTCTGATGTGAATCAAATTAGCGCAGTTCCCAATTGCTTGTTCGATTGCGGCTTAGAGTGGTGCTTTGCGGTTTAGAGCGATGACGTAAACAACAAAAACGGTTCAGTACGTTTTTTTGCGGAAATGATGGTTTGCGTTTGGTGAGTGGAGGGGTGGTGAAGTGAGAGGGGAAGGCCCGGCTGGGAAGACTAACTGCCGAACGAATCCTGATGCCCGTAGCTTACGTGGCCGAAGGTTGATATAGATTTTCTGTCAGTCAACGTCACTTTGGTACTTTTCGAAGTGGCAGGACAGTCAGCGTCATTTTGATACTTTCTACAGTTCTTCACTAATGTGCAGTAGATAAAATATGGAGGGTAATGGGAGGGAGGAAAATTGGAGGTGTGATAGAAACGAGGGCGAGAAGGCCGCTGTCTGATTGGCTTTTTCTTTGTGTTTGCATCGAGAGCACTGGCTTGCCCATTGGCCAAGCAACCAGCCATTCCAAATCGACGATACAGTACACGACACGACCACCAATAAATTCGGCCAGCCTTCACTAACGTCTTTTCCCACAGGAACTTCCTCATTCCTCCTCGCCCTACATCACCTTACATGACCGCAATGTACTAACCACAATGCACCGCCCCACACCCCCCTCCCTCCCCTTCCCTGAGATCTGTGCGCACAGCACAGGCCCTGTCGGAATCCGCAATTTGTCCACCTGGGCAATTTGATCGGACGGTTCCTTATTCCTCCGCCGCCTCAGTCCCACAGGGCCTGAGCTAGGTTTTTTTGCTAGCTCGGACGATTTGGGCCCATCTGAAAAAAAATCCTGTAAAACCCGAGCCGGGCCAAAAATTGCTCGGATGAATCAGGGTCCGAGCCGAAAAATGCATGAGCGCCACCAATTATTGCGGGGTGAGAAAAAAATGTGCCCACGCCACTACTTCAGTAGGGCAATCGGGTTTGGCCACGCTCCTGCAGCACCACGGCCGAGGGGATGAGGGGGGAGGGGGTCACTCACCACCCAAGACGGTGACTCAATCTGTAAGTGAGAGAATTACATAACCCCAGCTTCCAGCAAGGCCGCTCCTGAATGTACCGGGCTTTGAGAGGTGTGGAGCGAGATTTTGGGGAGGGAATCGGGGAGGGCGGCGAGTTTGGGCAGGGGCAAAAGTTGAGTCCAGAAAACAGAAAAAAAGGGACTGGAAGTGTTTGGTTGGGGGGTTGGGGGTGGGGGAGTTTGGCGGGGGGAGGGTTGGGGGTAGTTGGGGGGGGGGGGAAGAGGTTTGGAGAGGGGGAAAGGTCACGGGCTGCCCTGGAATTCCCCCAGATATATACGGGTTGCACAAAATTTTCTACCTGTGTAATTCTGGGCTGTCTGGGGAAAAGCCTATGTGAAATACGGGGCTACGAGTAAAAACCCCTTGGATTTTCAGCCAAGATAGGGTGATAACCCTGTTATTTTCAGCCCCTCCGCAGCAGCGGTGCCTTCCCCGCCGAGGCAAGGCAACAGATACAGTCGAAGAGCGAGAGAGTCACACAAACTTCCCGAATCGGAGGGGCAATGTCGAGCTCGTCATTTCGCATGCTTCGGCATGGGCAAATGGGACAGAAACGTGGAATTTGTAACAAGATATTTGTGTCTGGTCAATAAATAGAGGTCCCGATGGGCAATTGTGTGGTCGTTTCGTTCCACCCTCCCATCCGTCCCATTTCCCCTAATCAGGGCCTATGTTTCAAGGGTTACTGCCCTGAATTTGGGTCGTTTAAAGGGTATTTTCCAGTACAGCCCGGAACATTAAGAGCTGGATGTTTTGTAGCCCTTGAGATTAAGGGTCAAGCCTGGATGACCCCTTCAGATTTTGAGTGATGGCTGAGTGCACTAGTAGTGAAGTAGCGATGTAGGAGCAGGCGCTCCTGCCTCGGCTCCACCCTTACCCCAGGTGTTCCACCCACCTGTCTACTTCTGTAGTAGAGTGTCTATCTTAGCGAAATAGCTTATTCCTCCAGTGAGTATAGGCCGAAAAAATCAGCTGGGCCCCACACGTCTAAGAGTGGGGGCTTATAAGAACCCTGAATTTAGTGATTCGGCTCAGATGAACCCTAATTTCTAAGGGTGGCCTAAAACCAAAAGTACGTCCTGCCCTAAACCCGAGGTTGTGTGAGGTGATTCTGATTGGGACAGGCGCTGCGTACGGGATTGGGTGAGCATCGACTGTATCCGCCCAGCGGTGACTTGGCTGGGGGTCTGTTCTGTCAGAAGGAGGCCGGTTTGTTTTGGTCGTAAGCTCTCGGGCGGTTCGGAGAACATGATAATCAAGACCTAACTTACTACACTAGAGGTCTGAAAGAGGCTCAAGTTTTTTTTTGGCCAGTTACTCTAGTAACGGACGCCTTCAAATCGCTGGCAAATCGGGCCTGAAGGTAGGACCATGGTTACCCATTTGGCAGGACCCTTGGAACATTGAAGACATTCGTTGTTTCTCCCCGTGTACCCGGTAACTGTCGCACAATCGCACCCTGGTTCCGAGTCAACCTACAATTGTTCCTTCTGCATGTTTTCTCCCAGCAGTGTCGCAAGTGGTTGAGCCGCCCAAAATTGGGCCAGTCCAGGACGGGCCGTTGCCTGTAAATCCGTGCCAGTCGGACTGACGAGTGCATGGGGGCCTCTGACGAATGGGCGTTTCAATGGACGTCATTTGTACAAGCACTAAGTGAGGGGGAAATGACGAAAGGGCGCAGGTGTTTTACATTCAGTGTATCGAATTCGTAAGTGGTGCAGCCCAGGGCAGGGTCATATGACCATGCAACCAGCAAAATAGCAGTTTTACAGGGTGAAATTTCCTACAAGCTACTTTTGGTCACACCTAGGGAATGCCCTTCCGGTTGATGGGGTTGGTGTCTCTTCAACACAAACGCCAATGGGAAAATGTCTCTGGCGTTTCTCTCACCACCAGTGCTCCTCTGTGGGTGTTTCTTCACTCGCGTGTGTTTCTCGTCAAGCTCTGCAACAGGTCGTCTCTCATCTCTCCTGGATTTTGCACGCCTGTGGTACAGCACTGTAAAGTCTTCGGAATCCCTGTCCAGCTAAGCCAGTCTTCTTGCTGCCGTCCTTCACCTAGCTGCTTTGAGAGAGAGCTCTTAATCCATCAGCCTGGACCATACATTATGGTTTGCCTTAAGTAATATCCAGAAAGCTTATTCAGTGGGCTCCTTTCTACTAAGCCGCGCTAGGTCGCCAGTTTCGAACGCGCAGAGTTCTAGTATTCCGACCCAAGATAGAGATCCGAGTAGTTCCGTATTCAGGTCCGTGCTTGACTTATTCAGGTCGGTTTCACTCTCGCTACGCGCCGAGCTGGACCGACTGACACGCGACGCTGACAGGCTTTATTTTCTGAAAAAAGCGAAAGTCAATAGCTTTCTGGGGGAAGAATATTGAGTTCTCAAGAGGGGGTCTGAAACATATTATTTAACATAAAAGAAACGATGAAAGATAAGGAGCCGCAAGTGTAGGATTAGTACGACTAGTAGTATGAGAACGCCTTAAAGCGCTAACATATTTCGTCTTATTTGTAGTCGCCACTAGCGTGGAGCGCTGGAACATCTGTCAAGCCTAGTAGCGCAAGGAGATGTCCTGGCAGGGTGATTATAACGAGCGGTTCTGGTGCCTGTGGGCGGCGACGCGTGCAGCAAGGACGCTCTGCGATGGGCCGTGGCCAATAAGATCGCGCGGCCCGACGACCTGCTCGTGCTGCTCCACATCGTCACCAAAGCGCCGGGTAAGAGGCGTTGGGAGAGCGACGCGGGTCTCATGTGCCACGGCGCTGCAAGCGGTACAAAGGACAGGTGGGATTAGAGATACTGCTTTAGACGCGTGCATTTCTGCTGAGATCTCGCGGATGCGACGGGTGGGATGCGTGCATTGTTACACGTGCCAACGGGCTGCAAGCGGTGCAAGGGACAGGTAGGATGGGGGATACTTTAGATGCGTGCATTGTTGAGATCACGCGGCCCCGACGACCTGCTCGTGCTGCTCCACATCGTCACTAAAGCGCCGGGTGAGGCGGACGGTGGGTGAGGCACGTTGGGCGAGCGACGTTGGATGAGCGACGTTGGGCGAGCGACGTTGGGCGAGCGACGTTGGGGTAGAGACGGTGGGGTAGAGACGCCGGTCCCCCAAGTGGGACGTTTTATGAGTTTGTTTTACCCACTCCGCCTTGTTGATCAAACCGCCTCTTATGCTGGCCTTCTATCATACACTCGAGGTTCTCGGTTCTGCTGATTCGACTGATTTTTGAGTGTGTGAGTCGACTCAAAAATCACCTACGACTCTGGAACCCATATCTAACGAGATTTGGTTCGGATGTTGTATGTCCATCCATGCGTACGCGGTGACTTTTGAGTCGACTCAAAAGTCAACACGATTTGGTTCGGATGCTGTATGTCCTTCCATGCGTACGCGTTTGTGGCAGGTCCGGATGGGTACGACGTGGGTCAGAGCGAGCTGTCCAAGACGTCGTTCGTGCAGCACGTGCGCACGGCCATCATGCCCATGCTCTCGCAGCTTAAAGCGTCAGTCGATCCCAAGGTGAACTTCAGTAGATTCCAAGTCATGCCACCGAGGTCAGCTTCAATTGATCCCAAGGTAAGCCACCATGGTCGGCATGGGGGGTTCAGGGGGTCGACAGTGCAGCACGTGCGCACGGTCATCATGCCCATGCTCTCGCAGCTCCACAGCCTCAGTTGATCCCAAGGTAAGGCACCGTCGTCACTCCCATAGTAAGCTTTGAGATGCGCCGTCCGAGGCACAACCATTTATCAGGCCCATGCTCTCGCAGCTTAAAAGCCTCAGTTGATCCCAGGATAAGCTTTCCAATGCTCTCGCAGCTTAAAGCCTCAGTTTGATCCCAGGATAAGCTTTCCAATGCTCTCGCAGCTCTTCCCTCCGCTCCGCTCCCCTCCCCTCCCCTCTCATCCTCCCCTTCCCTTCCCCTCTCCTCTCCCCCCCCTCTCTCCCTCTCTCCCCAGGTGCGGGCTGGAGTTGAAGGTGGGGCGCAACGACTCGAGGGACGTGGGGGGATAATGGAGGAGGCGATCAAGCTGCAGGCCACGTGCCTCGTGCTCGCCACTAAGGCCCGCGGGCTCTTCAGCATGTAAGAATCCCCGCGTCTGTACATGCTATAAGTCGTCTCGCTACAGGCCCGCGGGCTCTTCAGCATGTGAGATTTCTGAGGCGCCTCAAATCTAGACTTTGAGGCGCTCAAGCTGCAGGCCAGAAAAATGAGATTACCTTAAAAATACATATTCTAGCGAATCTTCGTACATACAGTGACTTTTTTTGAACTAATTCGTTACGTTTGCAGACCCTGCCGGCTTGAAATGAATCTGCTATAGCTTGCAAAACATCCAACTCATCTTTTTTATCACACACTAAGGCGTGCGGGCTCTTCAGCATGTAAGATGCGCCGTGAATGTATCCGCGTTATAAGACGCCTCGCTACAGAACCCCGCGGAGTGTTGCGGCTTGGATTACTGCAAGGAGCTCCCTGGCCTCCCTCCCCGCACCCCCACCAGGACACCCTAGTCTAGTCTACCTTCGCCGTTCCCCTCTCTCTCAACATTGTCAGTGATAGTCACCTCAATGGACAAGTTGCTCCTCTCCAAGCACGGCGAATCCACTCCCCTCCCACTATCCATCTCACCCTCTCCCCTCCCCTCCCCTCCTCTCCCCCTAGGCGTAGCAAGCTGTCTGGCAGCACGAGCGCCTTCTGCCTGAAGCACCGGCCGCCCACCCTCTCAGTGGTCGTCGTCTCCAAGGACAAGGTTCTCCTCTCCAAGCACGGCGAGGCCACCCCCCCCGAGCGCTCACCCTCCCTCTCCCTCACGGGCAGCCCCCTCCCCGGGTCCCCCGCCCCCAATATCCCCTCCGCGTCCTCCTCCCCTGGGAGCAGCAGCCGCCAAAACAGCGAGAGCAGGTTCGATCCTTCTCAGGGGGAAAGGGGAAATAAGAGTCTGTCGGAACCCCTTTCTGTCCCCATGCCCGAGTCAGACCTGCCTGGAGACTGTAGTACGGCTGTGGCGGCCCTCTCTCTCGGCTGCTGGTGGTGAGAGGGCCGTTGATGCTGGGATTGGGCAGGAATCTGATTGATGGTGAGAGGAGCGGGAGAGGGGCAGAGGGAAGGGGAAGGAAAGGGCGTTGATCGGGAGTTACAGCAGGTGCGGGAGCAGCAGCAGCAGCGGGATGCTGCTGCACCAGCAGCAGCAGCAGCAGGCGGCTGTGAGGCTCGCAGCCCTCATGGAAGGCGTCAGTGTGAGAGGGGGCGGAGGGGGGGAGCAGGAGGGGGGGGAGCAGGAGAGGGGGAGCAGGAGAGGGGGAGCAGGAGGGGGGTAAGTGGGGCGCGAGTGGGTGGGTATGGTGGTTGGAGCGATGCCAACGATGCAGCGTCGGCGGCACATGCTGTGGCCAGGTCTCAGCAACGCACGGGCGTGTCAAATGAGAGCATGGCTGCGGCACACGGCAGTGTGGCAGGCGTGGGCTTCCCACACGTCCCTGCGTACCTGCCTCTGAATGCAACCAAGGATGAATCCGGAGCTCAGTCCGCGAGGGAGCCTAGTCTTCTGAGCAGCACCGCCAGCAGCAGCAGCTTCAGTGTTACGAGCAGCAGTGGCAGCACGTTTACCATGGGGAACGGGAGCAGCGCGAGCAGCAGGAATGGCACAGGGAGTGAGGCCACAGGGTCTCCCATTAGCAACGGCAGCAGTGGCATCAGCAGCAGCACGGCTGGTGCCAAACCGAAGGAAGCAGCAGCAGCGGTGGCGGCTGCAGCGGTGGCAGCAGCAGCTGCAGCTGCAGTGGCTGAGGCGAAGGGCGAGGGCGGCATGGGAGGGAAGGGAGAAGGGGCTCCAGAAGCGGCCAGTGGCATGTGCTGCCGGTTATACGCGTATGAGGACATCCAGGTACGGCCGTGTGGGTGGGTGGGCCCACACAGCTTGCCTCGGAGTCGACTCAAAAGCAGACTCTAGAAGTGGCCAGTGACGTGTGCTGTCAGGTGTACACCTATAAAGAGATCCAGGTGCGGTCGTGTGGGCGCCACCGCTTGCTTCAAAGTCAGCTCAAAAGCAGACTCTAGAAGCGGCCAGTGACGTGTGCTGTCAGGTGTACACCTATAAAGAGATCCAGGTGCGGCCGTGTGGGCTCCACCGCTGCTGCTGCTGAGCGAGGGCGAGGGTCTGGCACAGTGCACTTGGCCTCCTCCCTTGCGTCCCCCTGACTTGCGCCTTGCGTCTCGCCGTACATCCTCCTCCAATCTACCACTCTCATCCACTCCTCCACTCCTCTCCACTCCCCACTCTTCTCCACTCCTCCACTCTTCTCCACTCCTCCACTCTTCTCCACTCCTCCACTCTTCTCCACTCCTCCACTCTTCTCCACTCCTCCACTCTTCTCCACTCCCCACTCTTCCCCACTCCTCCACTCTTCTCCACTCCTCCACTCTTCTCCACTCCTCCACTCTTCTCCACTCCTCCACTCTTCTCCACTCCTCCACTCTTCTCCACTCCCCACTCTTCTCCACTCCTCCACTCTTCTCCACTCCTCCACTCTTCTCCACTCCTCCACTCTTCTCCACTCCTCCACTCTTCTCCACTCCTCCACTCTTCTCCACTCCTCCACTCTTCTCCACTCCTCCACTCTTCTCCACTCCTCCACTCTCCCTCCCTCCACCCTCCTCTCCCCCACCCTCCTCTCCTCCACCCTCCTCTCCCTCCCCCCTCTCTCCCTCCACCCTCCTCTCCCTCCACCCTCCTCTCCCTCCACCTCCTCTCCCTCCACCCTCCTCTCCCTCCACCCTCCTCTCTCTCCACCCTCCTCTCCCTCCACACTCCTCTCCCTCCACCCTCCTCTCCCTCCACCCTCCTCTCCCTCCACCCTCCTCTCCCTCCACCCTCCTCTCCCTCCACTCTCCTCTCTTCCCCCCACTGAGCCACGGACGATTGCAAAACCCTCTACAGCTGCTGCTGGGGGAGGCGGGTGCGCCACGGTGTACTTGGGGCGTCTGCTTAGTTGTGTGCTTACCAGGTGTACCCCTCTCTCCCTCTCTCCCTCTCCACCTCTCTCCCTTCCCTCCCCTCTGTCCATTCAACGCCAGAGAGCAACGGACGACTTCAGTCCACAGCTGCTCCTGGGGGAGGGTGGGTGCGGCACGGTGTACTCTGGGATTCTGGGCGGCAGCAAGGTGGCCGTGAAGGTGATCAAGACAGCTGATGCCGACCGGGCGGCGAAGGAGTTTCAAAGAGAGGTGAGCCAGACCGGTCGGTCAGAGTAACTCCTCTTTCACAGAGCTTCTTTCAAGGTGGCAGAAATAACCTCACGTGCTCTCTCTGCTACGGCCCGTGTTTCCCTCCAGCTTCGATCCCCCTGAGTCCTCCTGACCCCAATTGTTGTCCGTATCACACCACTTGCCGCACAGGTCGAGCTGCTGAGCCAGGTCCAGCACCCCACAGCATGTCCCTCCTCAACTGCTGCCCCGCTAGCTACGTTGGAAAAAACGCGTTTGGCGTTTTAAACGCTAGCGTCTAAACGCTAGCGTTTAAACGCAAAACGCTTAGCCAGGAGTGGAGCAAACGCTAGGAAAACGCTGGCCCGGGCAGGGTTAAAAAAAGTTCGGGCAGGGCAAAAAAACGGGCTTCGGGGGGAGGAAGGGGAAAGGCACTTTCATCCACCACCCCATTAATAAAATATTAAAAGTTTCAGGGTACATTCACAAGCCAACCTAACATCCATTCATCACATCACACACACCTACCCCCTCTCCCATGCAACACAACCAGGATGCATCTTTCCCACAACCAGCCGCTGCGAGTACTCCACTTCATGCTCTGCAACACTATGCTGCGGGCAAACCCTAACACGAGCCTCCCCTGCCACCCCTGCCACCTCTTCCCCCCCAGCCCCTCCCTACCCTCCCATCTCCAACTCCCTTGATCCTCAAAGCTCCACTAACAATACTCATCATCCAACTCTTTGCCCTCCCCCTCCTCCTCGACCACGTCCTCCTCATCCACCAACAAGTACCCCTCTGGAAGCGGGAGGTCAGGGATGTTCCCAGCCACAATCCCAAGTCCCTCATCCCTCTTGTGCCAGTTGCGCACAACCCCCCAGTTGTGCGCAATGTAAACCAGATCCTTCAGCTTCTCCGAGCCGAGCTTGTTGCGCCGAGCAGTGTGGACCGAATCCCACACTGCCCAGTTGCGCTCGCATGCAGAAGCAGACACCGGCTGAGTGAGGACACGGCAAGCAAGTTTGGCCAGCTCCGGGCAGTCGGTGCCGTGCCAGGTCCACCAATGCACCATGCAACCCTTCCCCTCCTTCACGGCCAATCGATCTCTAATGGCACCAGGCATGCCAAAGCTGCCCTCGAGTTTCAGGAAGGACATGAGTCCCTCCTGCAAGACGAGGGTGGCGCGCCTCTCCCCCACACCCTTCCTGGTAATGGTCTGTCCCTCGTAGTGGCGGGAGATGAAGTCTTTGAAGACTTTGGTGCACTCCACATCATCCAGGAAGATCTCTTCCACCTGGTTGCCCGGATTAAGGATCCGACCAACCACGTGGAGGGGGCAGGCAAGGCTGCCATCCCAGCGCGTCTTGACAAACTTGTTAATCTCCCTTTCCTCCCCCCTCGTCAACAGCTCCTGCCCATCCTCCCCTCAAGCAGCTGCTTCACATCCACAGTCAGCTGCAGCATGTGATCATAGATTCTGCCCATCATCCCTTTCGCCGTGGAATCGGTTGCTCGCATTGCCATGAATGGCAACTTCATCAGCTTCACAAAGAAGGCAGCCGCCTTCCACCAAATCTTGTCCTCGAGGTGGGCTTGGAAGGCTTCCCCTGCACTCCTCCGCACCCCCGTTGCCCACAACTCCCACCCCTCGCTGTGCACCATCTGTAGCAGCGACAGTTTGACCTCACAAAGCCGAGACAATGCGATAAATTGTGTCCCGAACCTTGTTCCGGCCGGACGCACCACCTGCAAGCCCTTTCCGCCTTGCACCTCTGGACTCCTCAAGAATCCACGCGTCCAGTGATGCTTCCGAATGTAAGCGATGATTTCGCCGCCCCGCTCGACCACCCCCTTGGCCCAAGCCATCTTACCCACATCCTCCATGAGGAGGTCGAGCACGTGCGTGGCACACGGCACATGCTCGATGTGGGGCCACTCATTGAAGATCTCCTTGTAGGCGGCGGCGTAGTTGCTGCCCCCATCCATGCAGAGAGCAACTATGTTCTCCGCTCCGACTTTCTCCACTATCGGCCTTAGGATACTAGCGATCCCGATCTGGGTTTAGCACAATGGTTGGAGTCTACGATGCCTCTCTGTTGAAGAGAGGGTTTGTAGAGACGTGGTTGGGTTGACTAGATAATTTGTGGTCTAGTGCGGTTGGGTGTTTTTCGGGGGTTGGGAGTTGGGAAGACATCTTGAGATTGCGAGGTGGCGAGTCATTCCGTTTTTCCCAGCGCGTCGCAAACTGGTTTCGAAAATTCAAAATTTCAGAATTTTTTTTGCGGGCAGCCCGCTCTTGCGTTTGCGCGTTTGCCTAGCGTTTGGCGTTTGCGTTGGAACGCTAGCGTTCGAACGCAAAACGCT